GAATAGCTGTTGCCATTAGTTTTCTGGAATAGCTGTTGCCATTAGATGCAGATTATAGTGAGGAACCAAAATTTATATTTTGGTTGAATGTGAGAACTAGTTGGAGTGATATGAAAGTTGACTGTGGGTTATGAGATATTTTAAAAATGCTTTAGTTCACAGTAGTAATTCCTGCCCAACCCTTTAATTACAGTAATTTACCAATCTTTGCACCAAAAAGACAAATGGAGTAGCTGAAATTAAATGGAATTTGTGTTACTCTACAATGAGCAATGTTTTTCTTAAAAAAATTTTTTAATCAGCTACGTAAAAGCATAGCCAATACATGGGTGTGCAAGAGGCAATATCACAGGGCTCAAAGTTCTTAATTTAGCACAGATCAATGTAGAGACAAAACTGAGATGTTTCCTTTCAAACGGTGAAAATGAAATGTTTTAGTACAGATCCTGCTACAGTGAGTGAATGAGTTATGTATTTTAGTTAAGTTGGCTGACAGGTGTCACAGTGAATAGCAGCTCTTCCACTAAACCATCAACGACACACTGCACACATTAATTCAAGGAACATAACACAAACATTTCACCACCAAATTGATGCAACTTGAGGTTTTGTATTGAATCATGCAGCTGTATGAAGTGGCTTACAAATGTGAATCAACTTGTTTCCTTTCTTTCTGTGATCATGACAAAAGCAGCACTCAGAAATTTTGTAAGCATTTTTCTAGCACTCATTACACCCACATCTTGGTTTTCCCTCTGAAGATCCCAAGAAAGCTTATATGTAGTTTTAAAGAATTCTCCCACATAGACAGTTGAATGTCCAAAATCAAATCTGCTTAACTTGGAGAGCTGAGTGGCATCACATATCATGCAACCATTCATTTGGCACTCCTCTCTCTTAGTTCACTGTTCTTTGTCTGGAACCAATTTCAAAACTATGAAAGTAGAGTATCAGTCACTGGGTATGATCACTAGTTGGTCTTTAATTGACATTTACAATCTACTGCAATAGCTAAAATGTAATCCCAGCTTTACAGATGTAAGGATGGATACATTGTTTAGTTCTGCTGTTACATGCTATCTAGTTGTCTCCGATTTACAGTGATTCTAGGAATGAGTGTCCTCCAAAACATTCTTCAACAACTCTGCTCATCTCTTCTAACACTGTGGTTCTTTTGTAAAGTCGATCCATCTCACATTTGATCTTCCTCTTTTCCTACTGTCTTCAACTTTTCCAAGCATTATTGTCTTTTGCAGCGAAACTTGCTTCTCATGGCCTCTTGCCCATAGCAGAACAGCCTGTTTCATTATTTTTGCTTTCAGAGAAAGTTTTGATTTGCTTTAGAATCTGCAGGTTCATCTTTCTACTAGTCCACCTTTCCTCTAGCATCATACAGTACATAATATTTAGGAACATAATCATGTGGATGATCCTGGCCTTGGTCCCCAGCAACACATCCTTGCACTTGAGGATCTTTTTCTGGTTCATTCATAGCTGTCCTTCTAAGTCTCTCTTATGATTTCTTGGCTGCAGTCTCCATTTGGACTGATGACTGAACCAAGTATACAAAATCTTCAAAAATTTCAGTTTCTTCATTTTTCACTTTAAAATTCTTTAGTTTTTCTGTAGCCATGATTTTTGTCTTAAAGTTCAGTCCTCTGGAACTTTCTTCTTTAATTACAAGTCCTTTCAGGTCATTGCTGTTTTCTGCCAACAAGATAGTGTCAACTGCATATTTTAAATTATTGTTTCTTCCATCAATATTTTCTCTCTTCCATCTGTGCCTAGTCCACCTTTCTGAATACGTTCTGCATACAGCTCGAGCAAATAGGGAGATACAATACTCCTTTGTCTGACACCTTTGCCTGTAAGAAACCATTCCTACAATAACTTCTTGTTCATAATACAGGTTATGAATTGAAACAATCAAATGCTGAAACCAGTTTCTTGCAGAACCAGAGCTTCTCATGATCCACAAAGTCAAGGGCTGTGCTATAGTCTATAAAACATAAGACTTATTTTCTTCTGAAACTTTGTTGTGCGCCAGTAGCCAGCATATATTTGTGATGTGATGTAATCTTACATGCCTTTTTTTCCTTTTAGGGAGCCCTCTGATTCTTCTGAAACTTTGTTGTGCGCCAGTAGTCAGCATATATTTGTGATGTGATGTGATCTTACATGCCTTTTTTTTCCTTTTTGGGAGCCCTCTGGTGCAGTGGTTAAACTGCAGCCAAAATTCTGCTCACAATCAGGATTCAATCCCAGGCAGCTGGCTTGAGGCTGACCCAGCCTTCCAAGGTCAGTAAACTGAGTACCCAGCTCTTGGGAGGGGGGGGAATGTGCCCTGCATAATTAAACTGTACAAGTAGCATGCTTTGGGGAGGGGGAATTTGTAATCCATCTTGAACATCAAGCATGTCTCACTCTACGTAGAGTAAAAATCTGTTGCAACACCCTGAGCATCATTTTGCTAGCATAGGAAATTACTGCACTCCTTGGCATCTCCTATAGTTACTGCATTCTTTGGCATCTCCTTTCTTGGGGACTGGAATCTATATTTAATGTTTCCAGTCTGTGGGCCGTTGTTTTGTTTTCCATGTTTTTTGGCATATTCCTATTAGGACTTTGACAGATTCAGTCTCTTCAGCTTGAAATAGTTCTATCTGTATTCTAATTCATACCTTGCTGAATTATTTTTTTCTGAGTGCTTTCAAAACAGCTTCCACTTCACTTTCTAAAGCTGTCGGTTCTTTGTCATAGGTTTTCTCTTCAAAGGAAACTGTCAAACTTTTAAACTTTTCAGTAGAAGTCCCCAACTTGCTGTTTTCACCTTCTATTTAATTTACCCTGGTCAAATAGTGTGCCTCCCTGTTTGCCTTTCAGCATTCGTGATCTAGGTTTAAGTTTCCTTTTGAATTTTTAGATCTTCTGGAAGAGAGCTCTTGTTTCCCCCCCTTTGGTTGTTCTCTTGTATTTCTTTGCACTGAATCTTGTAATGGTTCTTTGTCTCTACATGAGAAACTGAAAAGTTTCATTCAAAATTCTCACCCTACTTCTGTCACCTTTTACTTTTGCTTCTCATCATCCTTAACAATTTTTTCTTCCATCATCCATCTAGATTTTTCTTTTCTTTTTATTACAGGAATAGTCTTTTCTCATTCTTCCCTAATAACATACTGTATCTGTTTTCAAGCCACAGTTCTTTTGATCATGGTACATTATCCCTAATAACATACTGTATCTGTTTTCAATCCAGAGTTCCTTTGATCATGGTAATTGAGTTTAGTAATGCAAATCTGTTCTTAATGCAGCCTTTAAATTCTTTAGAAATGCAATGTAACTATATTTTCGCACTACAATTCTTTTTCAGCATTACTCTGTTGGAAATTAACAGTTCCACAATCTGTTCCTGGTCTTGTTTTGGCAGAAAAAAATGCAGCCTCTCCATCTCCTGCTTCTGATTATATAGTTTATTTGATTTCTATATTGGTCAGCTGTTGATACCCATGCGATATACAGATTGTTGTCTTCACTGAACTCTTGAGTTGTTCTCCTGCTTCATTTCTGACTTCTAGGGCAAATTCAACAAAATTTAGTTTTGCCTTATTTCTTTCTTTTAGATTTCAGTCACCTATGATTATCAGCACCTCGTGTTTTGGTGTGTGATCCATTTTCCCCTGGATGCTTGCACAAAAACTTCCATTTTCTTCTTCAGCATCTGCAGCATAGATTTGAATGAGTTATATTGATGCTGCATCTCTATAACTGCCTAAATTCTTTATTTCCCAATGCCTTATTACTTTCAGTTGTTGCACAACTTGTAACTGAGACCCACTCTTTCAGCCTGAAGGGCATTGTTTGTGAGCAACAGTCGCAGGTTGCCATATTTTTCCCAAAAGTCTCTTCATATGGCAAACAACTAATACTCGTTCTACCTCAAATATCTTCTCAGTGATTGAGACAGGACAAGGGAAATGAGAGTATCACATATGCGGTTCAGTTAGAACAAATTTAAGATATATAGGCCACAGTGCCTTAATTGGGAATAGCCAAAATCTATATCATATATCTACATCATAGTCGCGATGTAGCTTTTAAAAAATAGATATGGCTGAAACGGACAGAAAAAGCAAAAATAATCAGAACTGGTCATCTTCAGTTTTGCGTTTTATGAGTTGCATAGCAGTAATGTCGATTAAGTCTCACTAGGAAACAGGTTGGTTACATGGCACAACCAGAGGTAATGGTAAAAAAAAGCAAGATAAATGGCTGTTCTTCCTGTTTTACAATATAATGTCAAAGCCAAATAAATGAGGTCTTTTTCAGAGTTGTAGTAGCAAATCTATAGAACAGCTTCCTAAGAGAAGTTAATCTTTTGTCATTCTTTGCCTGCTTTTAAATGGGATAAAAAAAAACACTCTGAAAGCCATTTTAATTGAGCTTTCAATGTACCTTTAGTCAGCTGCTGTTGATATGGTTTCCATCACCTCATTTTATGATTGTTTTACCACTGTTGTATTGATGACTTTTCAAATATCCTTGTGGTTTGTTTTTTTTCAATTGCAGATCACCCCAAATTTGAATGTATAATAGAAAGCCAAGATATACATGTCAAAATAAAGATAGGCAAAGACTACAGTCCATCAGAAAACATGCTGAAAGAAAATAGTATGTTTATTTCCTTCCATTCACAGTACAAAACACCATAAAATACCAATGTTGACAAAAAAGGGGGTCATCACTGATTTTAAATTAATCTGAGATATGCTTTATTTTCAAACACTATTTTTTGTACTTTACCTTGTTGCATTATCAGCCTATTTGGGAAATTTAACCAGGTCCAGCTTTTAAGCACAGGCAGATCCATCACGTTAACGTAGGCAAAACGCATTCCTTTCTCAAGTCAATTTATTTATCCAATGGCTCTCTATTCACATACATACCTCCTCCTCTTGCAGAAGTAGGTGGGTATTGGTGACTCTGATTATGTTGTGTTATGCTTGCCACTTCCCCGCTCAGAAAACAACTATCTCACACAAAGGATTCTTGTGCCTCTGCTAAATGTTTGGACATAAGAGCCTGAAAGTAAGTTTTTTGGCCTGTCAAGTCTAGGATCCTGCAGTGAGCCAGCGACCATGATGACCAGAGTGGAACAGCAGCATGCACATGAACTCACAGAGGGCCAGGGCTACCACCAAAAGCCACTCTATATATCTAGAAAGTTCCAAAGGAATGCTTCTGTGCAGACACAGACCCATTAGTACACATACATAGAGACAAAAAAGTACATATTCCAAACTCTATTATATATTACAGCTTTAATTCTTGCAGGTGCAAACCAAGACAATGAAAACTGAAAATTACCTTACCATGCTTTATTACCTAATTGCATACTGCACTTTACATTAAAACATGCTTTCTCGTTAAGCTGAAGAGACTAAGACTGCCATGTTCAATTTGATTGCACACTGACTACTCTCAATGATCTCTGGATATTGAGAGAGATAAAAGTCTAACATAAGTCTATAAAACTGCGTCTTTTTCTTCATTGACAGTTTCCATTCTTTTTCCTATTGATTTTTGCTTGTTGTACATTTTTGTGGGCAATACAGTAATGGAGAAAGCTTCCCAATTCTATAATCTAGTAGATGCAAGAATGAACATTATGAAGGGCAGGAGGATTCTGATGCATGAAAAGACTTGTATTTTACAAAGCCCTGGGAAGCAGAATGGGGATAATCTGTACATAGACTTGCCCTCAGGTCTTTCATGGGATTAAAAGCAAAAGAGCAAAGTGTGCAATTTATATACTACCCCATAGCACTTAAAACACTTTCTAGGCATTTTACAATGTAATTTTGCAGGCTACAACTCCTATAAGAACCAGCTAACATAGTCGATGTTTAAAGCCCATAGAGACACAAAAACATCTTGAGAGCTCAGATTGGGAAGGCAGGATAATACTCTTACAAAATGCACGTCACTGAAGGCTGAACCACCTCATATCAAGACTGGAAACTAGGTGCTGCTGTTAGTACAACAGAGTTGTCAAGAACAGCACATCGAAGTGCTTCCTCTTATGACAATCAATACATTTTAAAGAGAAAAGTAATAGGGTACAATTAGGAGCACTACTGAGCGGAAGACCTATCACACTGATAGCCAACATGGAAGCTCCTCTGAAGTGCAAATGTAGCAGAAGATCCAATCGCAGTCACTCCATACTGTGTAGACCCTCCTCCCTCCTCCTGGAATACTTGCCTGTCTTGTACTTCTCAGGGGGAGGAGGCCAAACCCAAGCAGCCAAGTGTTTACGAAGCAGCTCTAGCTTGGAAAAAGAAACCTGGGATATGCTCACGAGTCACAGAACAGATTTGTTCTTGAGAGTATTCTAATGGGACACAATTCAAGTAAATAAAATGTGTTGCTATAGAAACATGAGATTTAAAAGTAGAACCAAAAACATACCAACAAAACTGTTTCTATTTCTAAGTATTTGACCAGAAAAGGCAAACTGGGTGATAACTGTGTTTAGTTAAGTAAGTGGTGCCAGTACTTGATGTATTTCTAACTGTCTTGCCATTCTTCATTATAATGTCACATGTCAACCCTTTGGGAAAATACACTGCCCTGGGCCACTTGTACGCATTAAAGTTAGTTCTCCAGTGCCTTAACTTCTTTTCTGCCACTAGGCATGTATGTCATTGGGCCCTCACATTAGGAATTTGGTAACTCGGCCAAATTGATCACTCAGACTGTCCTCTGAAAGAGGATAACAGAAGGAGATGGAATGGTGCTAACCTGGCAGTGTGATAAAAATGCATGAATGACTAAGTGAAGATAGCTCAGAACAGAAATGCTTAAATAGCAAAAGGACCAGGAAGATAAAAATTGTAGAGGAGGTAGGGAATTAGGTTTGTTTTTCCTCATGTTTTGCTCTATAATATTTTGATTCTGGGATGGGAAAGGGGCACTGAAATAATGACTGTTTATTTTGCCTCACAATGTTTCTTTAACTTGTCATCACCAGCAACAGTGATAAGGTTGCAACTGCAAACTCAGTTTAGTGATGGGAGAGGCAGGAGGTTGATAGTTGGCACTAAAAGAATCTAATGAGCAAGGGGAAGGGTTAAGCTCTCAGCTCCACCCACTGCAAAACACACACGCACGCACGCACGCACGCACGCACGCACGCACACGCACACACACACACGTTCCAGCAGTTGTATCAGAGACTTCCAGGAAAACAACATCATTAGATTTTCTCGAAGTTGCTTGGGTTCACGAGAGTGAAGATTATAGATTGGTGATTCTCAAACTCTTCTGGCCCAGGAAGTGTCTTGAACTGCAGCCTACATGGTTAGGTTCCATGCATTTTTCATATGTCTCTTTTCTTGATCTCCTTTGTTTTCAAACAGACACGAAAGAAATTCATCAATGCTACCTAGTTACTTACTTTAGGTTGGATCAAGTATCAGTTACAGTTCATGACACACCAGTTGACAACTAAGGATCTAAAGTACCCATTCTCAATGGGGACCCCTGGCAAAATTTGAGGGGGCAACAAACTGGAAAGAGTTCTTCACACACCACCTTATATACAATCCTGTTCAAACAGACACGAAAGAAATTCATCAATGCTACCTAGTTACTTACTTTAGGTTGGATCAAGTATCAGTTACAGTTCATGACACACCAGTTGACAACTAAGGATCTAAAGTACCCATTCTCAATGGGGACCCCTGGCAAAATTTGAGGGGGCAACAAACTGGAAAGAGTTCTTCACACACCGCCTTATATAAAATCCTAATTTGGACTTTATTTCTTTCATATTGTGGTTATGGCTGTGGCCAAAAAAAGGTAGAAGACAGCTCATCTAAAGAAGGCACAAAGGGAACCTTTGGCTCTCCAGATACTTTGGCCTGCAATTGCCCTTGGCCCCACATAGCATGGTCAATGCTATGGGATTCTAGGAGATGTCATCCAAAATGTAGGGGGCCAAAGCCTTTTCGGCTTTGGCTACCTACAGAACGTTTCCCATTTTTAATCAGTTCTTTCCTTCTTTCTGATGTTAATCCTTACTGCGATATAATTCATTCTTAAATATGTATCCTCTCTTTGGCTAAACATCAAGCTATTCTCTTTATCACTTTTATACAAAAATAAGTCCTACACAGTTGTGTTGTACCCATAGTGGCATAGGAACTGATTGTTTGCAGTCACAAAAATCACTAAAAGTAACAATTTGTATATAGTAGAGGATTACCTTAGTCTGTACCCAAGGAGGAGACATTTCTAGGCATGGTACAGAGATGGGCTGAAGAGTTGTCAGTATATTTTCTGAAGAATGACTTAGATAAGTAATGCTGAGGTTCTCATCTGCTTTCACTGAATGACACACATATCTAACCATCAACAAATAATATGCACTCTATTTTTAATGCATGATTTAATATGTTGTTCCTTTTAACATTCTGTTATACATCCCTTCCCTTACTATGACAAAAAAAATCAGTCAATGTAGTCCTGTGACAAGATCAACTCACAACCACCAAAGAAAACCAAATTCCTCAGGAGCTGTGGCAGAATTCTGCAAAAATTTCTTGATCATAATTTCTAGACTATTACATTTAAGACTCTCTGTTTACCATGCCAGTCTCCTGGGCCCCACCACTCAGACTTAAATGAGCAGGAGAATCCCTGCTGATACAGTGGTGCACTGCATGACGGGAAAATCGCTTTTAAGCAAAATCGTCGTCATGCGAAAAGCCATTTCCCATTGGAATGCACTGAAACTCGTTTAATGCATTCCAATGGGGAAATTACCTCATCATCCAGCAAAGATTGCCCATGGGGAAGCCATTTTTTGAGCGCCCATCAGCTGTTTTGCGGAGCCAGAAAAATCTGCGTCTTGTGAACAAACGGTTGCCATGCCCATAGGAACGACTGTTTTGCGAATCGCTATAGCGATCGCAAAAAGTCACCGTCCTGCAGATTCGTCATACAGCGGGGTCGTCGTCTAGCGAGGTACCACTGTATATCTGATCAGTAATTGGAAATGAAAGCAGCTAGACCAAGGACTTTATTTGCCACTTTCTGAAAAACTTTAAATCCTCCTCAACTGGGGAGGGTGAAGCCGCTATAACTAAATGGGGCAGGGAGCCAATAAGGTCAGAAAAGGCCTCCATCTGATATTATCCAGCTTTAGCAGATGGGTGACATAGTAGATCCCAGGCAGAAAAACTCCAACTCAATTTCTGGCATTTTTAGCCAAAATATTTCTTGAGATCAGAGCTGGGAGAAGCCCTTTCCCAAGAATGTGGGAAACTACCACCAGTGAGTGCATGGGGTAAGATGGGCCTATGGCTCGACATTTTAAAAGCCACAATGTCATGCTCATTCTCACCTCCAGAAAAAACTCTTACTGGGAAGGAGAAGGTGCTATTTATCTAACCACAGGGACATAATTAGCTCATTTTATTTTCCTAAACAATAATTCTGAGAGCATTAAGAACATACCAATAACATGGAGACAGTAAGTAAATATAACAATAAAGATGGAGATAAGAGTTTCTGAAACCTGTTACTGTTCTGTGTATCTTCTTATACATCATTTTATGATACCTGTGACTCCCTACTTCAAATCTGCCTTTCTCCTTCTCACATCAAGTTTTTCAGAATTCTAAGCTGACCTGGACTTATCGGGCATGATTGCAGTACTGCAAGTTACATTCATACTATCTTGTCCAGTTAACGAAGAAGATTCTTATTCACATATATGAAACAAATGAAAGGACAGAACATGGCACAAAAACAAAAATATAAGAAGGCAGTTGGTATTCTCTGCCAGGAAAATCTCAGCATTACCAGAAACAACTAGTTAAAGATGGTATTAATAAATTAACCAAGCCTCAGATCTGATTCAAAAGAGCCTTATCAAAAATGAATGCTCTAACAAACGAACATACTGTTCAACAAAACAAAATCAATTTCTATCAAGCATCGTGCATTAGCAAGCAGTCCCATAAAATGCACCACTCATCATTGGGCAGTTGAAACAATTAGTAGCTTTCATTTTAGCAACATTTTCCTTTTCTCTCTCATACATGAATAGCCAATCACCAAACCCAACTGGGCTGTTTTGCTCAGACCAGAATTAACCTTTGGGCTCAGTAGCAGGAGTGGGCATCACAGATTCTCTCAGTCATGTATGCATTGCCTCAGGGTCTGGATACATAGTCCTAAACGTCAAATTTATACGTGGTTCCCGAGAGTGATAGTCCTTGGGTACACGGTGCTGAAATATAAAAACCAAAACAGAGTCCACGTGTGGTATATGCTAAATTTATAGGAATATAGAAGTATCAACATTTTTCTCTGCTTCTGCAAAGAAATTTTCACATTCTTCACAATTTATACTTCAGATCAAAAGGCTGAGGTTCTACACAGCTTTTAATATAAATATGTTAGGTAGTTCAGTTGTATAGGCATCTAGCTGTGGAGCCAGAAGTTAGGAGTTTCATTCCCCACTGTGCCTCTTTGACAGGGGCTGGGCTCAACAATCCACAGGGTCCTTTTCAACTCGGCAGTTTTAAGATGATGCTGACAATTATATGTATTCATACACTTAAATATACAAATACCCCTTAGCTTCCTTTTGTTCTATTTTCTGGAAATCAGCTTTCTCGTTTTGATAACGAGTATTCTGTGTTTATCCCAGATCACTGAATACTACTTCATTAGTATAGGCCAGAATCTTATTACCAATTTATACTTGTCTAATGGAAATTTTGACGAATTGCAATAAATTGCTGCTCTTTACACATGATACCAGCTGCATTTCTGAGTTTGCACTCAATTGGTTGTGCACTTATCCAGATATAAATGATGCCCTTAAAATTTGAATCAGCAATAGGATTCTGATGATAGTTGGGGACCTTAATCCATTGCAACTGATTTTTAAAGCTTAAAATTTGTAGAAATTAGAATTTATACCTTCAGAACAGTGTCTGGAGCCTTGTGAATCCAGAAACACTGGGCCAGCTGGATCAATGGTCTTAGTATACACTGGCTTCCTAGGTTATTACATTTAGGTCTGGAATGATGGTCAATTCTACCCTTCATCCCCACTCTGTTTAAGAAACAGTCTTGTGAGCCAAGTGTGAGAAGTGGTTCTTTCTTATTGGTAAACTCTCCATGTCTCTCTGCCTATAAGTGTTCCAACTGCTAATTAACTTATAATCACAAGTTCCCCAATGGTTATCTAGTGAAGGAGATAACATACCACTATGTTATCGCCTTTCCTTTACTCTGTAATAAACCATTTATGCTACCTGTGTTTAGAACAGGCTCACCTGCCAGTCTTCTTGAGTAGCTCCTTCCATCATTAGCAAAGTTCCATGATCTAGTGGTATATGTACTCTCTGCACATAAGTATAGTCACTGTTATCTTCCTGAAAAGACAAATGTTTAATATGATCAGTGTATGAACAGCTGCTCATAGAAGGGTTTTCTAGTCTAATCGTTCTGTAGCACAATCACCACTTTCACTTACTATGCTATAAATCTCATCCCTTCTCCAGAGGGAGGACAGAAAATCTCATCCCTTCTCCAGAGGGAGGACAGAGCTTGAGAATAGGATATTAGCCTTTAGAGTATGGGGGGTGGGGGGGAAGAGAGAATAAACTCAGTGCAGAACTAAATAAGTGATGACTGTTCTATTGCTTGTGCTCTTCTTTCCCAACTCAGAATATTTTTTTAGGGTTAAGATTAGAAGAGTCCCTCATCCAGGCCAGTACTGATTAATGCAAGAGGCAACCATAGATGAATCACTGATGATGCAGCCCTGGAAGAAGCTGCCCAGCATGAATTTGGCTGGATGATGTGTCTGGACAAACAATTGCCCAGATGGCTATGGCTGGATATTTTGTCAGGCATCAGTCAAGGAATGGGAGGAAACCAGAACAGCAATGACCTCAGAAAGCACTTAGGCACAGACTAGGAAGCACGAAGTACAGCATTCATTGAGCAGGAATGCATTCCTAACAGAGAAATGAAATTTTGTTAGCATGTTGACCAGGTGCCCCATGTTTTCATCATAATCAATGCATTCAAGTCTGGTCTTTATTAATAACTATTTCATCATCACTACTGTGACACCTATATTTGTATCATGTTCTTCTGCCAAGGAGCTCAGGATGAAGGACACACAAATACATAACTTTCATGAGGCAGCTTAACAGAGCTGGACTTGCCTGGCTATAGTAGAACTCTGTTATATTCTCTCTGCTTAATAAAATAAATACTTGCACAGCTAATTATCACACCTGAAATGGAATATTCTACAGTTAAGACATCTCCATACCCCTGAACCATGGAGCTTAAAGATTCTTCTTTGAAGTCTTCAAGTTTCAAGGTCAATCAGAAAAGTCAACATGGCATTTCTATAGTATCATCGCAGTAGTCAATACAAATTCTGCCTCAACAACCAGAAAACCCAATTTTCAAATCTATACTCCCAAGACTGCCCCCTGCTAAAGATAATAATAGCTTCAAACATGGTATCATAACTGACATCCAGTGCTTGAGCCATCTTTGTTAACAGGTCTACATAACTCATTTCAAGTTGGATAACCTTTCATTTCCAAAGCATCACCAGCATAAGCTCTAGTCTCTGCTACAATTACAGTACCACACTGTTTACTGCTTCTTTTACACTTACATGTAGATTTTCTGCTCCGAGTAGTGATCTACAAAAACCCAAATGACAACCTAATAATGTTCTCTCAAGTTATTGGATTTCAGTTCCCTTCAGCCCCAATGGTAAAGGTTGATGAAAGTTCTACTCCAACCTTTGGCAGGCTACAAATTCACCACACTGCATTTACAAGGAATTTACCATCTTTCCCTTTCCACATAGGATGTTTCTGTGTAGTAAACCTTTGCACTACATTGGGACTTGCTTTTACAGGCTGAGATTTTCAGTGTCTCCATACTAACGAAGCAAAATATCTGCTCTGTTTTCCAGAATCGCCTTTCTTTTACTCTGTAATAAATAAGATACTTCACATTCCACAGTGCCAAGGAAGACAACACCTTGCTTGGTATTTTACTGGAAAAACAAAGTTATCCAGAGGCTGAGTTTCCAATGGTATTTACCACCAGTATTTCCAGTACATTATGAACACCCCATTATTATCTAACACAGAGATTGTCAACCCCCGGTCTGCAACTTGGTGCCGGTCCGTGGCCTGAGCCAGACCGGGCTGTGGAGACAGACCTTCCACCCCCCACTAGTATTCCCCTCCCCACAGCTGCTTTACGCACACACACACGTGCCAGCACCAGCATGAGCACTCCCCCATCCCTTCGTGCACACACCTGCGCAAAGGGATGGGCATTCGCGCAAGGGCATGCAGGTGCTTCTGTGCATGCATGAAGGGGTGAGAGCGCGCTCACACCCGCGCTCCCCCACCACTTTGCGCATGTGCCCGAGAGCATGCACATGCAAAAGTGTGTGGAGGTGCCCCGCCTTCCTGAGAGGCTCAGCCGGTCCGTGGTCTCAAAAAAGGTTGGAGTTTGCTGATCTAACACATACACCCCAATTCCTCCTCCTGCCCCCTCCCCACTGTTTCCTTGGTTACAAACTAACTGCTGCTTGCCAACTAGCGATTATAGCTCAGTTTCATAGCATACACTGCAGTGTAGATTTAAAGCTGGCAAGTTAACAGCACTGAACTAATTCCCCAAGCAAACACAGGGCTCTGCAGCAAAGAAACGGGAGGGGGGAGGGAGGGCAGTGGGATTTTTATTTTTGGCAGATCTCAGGATCTGCCACTTAAAACAATATGCCAGGTTCTTTCCAAATCTAAAGGCCACTCTATAGGTTGCAAAATTAGCCACGATGTCACTACTTTTAAATTCCAAGTACAGTACACTTCCTATATTTATGCCATCTAGAAGTGACCACAAATGAATCTGGTTCTTCGAAAAAGTGTGTTGAACAGAAAAAGGAGACTCCCTGCCTGTCTCATATTAAGGCTTAGCATTGCACCTAATAACAAAGCTAGGAACCCTCAAGCAACAAATCCTTTGTTAACCATGTAAAAGTGCACAAGTAAAAGTACGAGTCAGCTTGTAAGCAAAGGTGAGAGCTAATACAGGAGCAACATTCTTCAGTGAAGAATGAACCAATAAGACTTCTCTGGATGATATTCATGGAAATGGCATCAGACATAGGTCACAGAGGATTACATGCTCCCTTGTGTTATTTTCAGGTTTTGCTCAAATTATACTGTGCACTACTCCCTGAACTGATTTTTGAATTTTGGGGACTATTAAGGGAAATACTGTATGGGACTCTTGCCTTTGAAAGGCAAACAGAAAAGTCCCCCCCCTAACATTGCCATTCCCCCAATCCTGGAGCAAAGCTATAATGTTTTAACTAAACCAATTGCTTGTTGGTTTTTTTTTTTTTTTTTTTTTTTGAGTGTTAGGAGGTTAGGAATGTCTTCTCTCGCACACCTCCTAGCAGAATGTCTATCCAGGGTTTAGTCTCTCATTCAGCTACAAAGACTCCCTCCCACCCCACATTTTATCAGCTGCACTGGGTCTCCATCCACTTCCAGCTTCAATTAAAATGGCTGTTTTAACCGTTCACCCTTCTTAATAGCTTGGGACAAGCATAGCTGAAAGTTCACTTTCCTCCATATCTATTTCATTTCGTTTAGTCGTGTCCGACTCTTCGTGACCCCATGGACCAGAGCACGCCAGGCCCTCCTATCTTCCACTGCCCCCCGGAGTTGTGTCAAATTCATGTTGGTAGCTTCGATGACATTGTCCAACCATCTCATCCTCTGTCGTCCCCTTCTCCTCCTGCCTTCACACTTTCCTAACATCAAGGTCTTTTCCAAGGAGTCTTCTCTTCTCATGAGATGGCCAAAGTACTGGAGCCTCAGCTTCAGGATCTGTCCTTCCAGTGAGCACTCAGGATTGATTTCCTTCAGAATGGATAGGTTTGTTCTCCTTGCAGTCCAGGGGATTCTCAAGAGCCTCCTCCAGCACCACAATTCAAAGGCACCAATTCTTCGGCGGTCTGCTTTCTTTATGGTCCAGCTCTCACTTCCATACATAACTAATGGAAAAACCATAGCTTTGACTATGCGGACTTTCGTTGGCAAAGTGATGTCTCTGCTTTTTAAGATGCTGTCAAGGTTTGTCATCGCTTTCCTCCCAAGAAGCAGGTGTCTTTTAATTTCGTGGCTGCTGTCTCCATCTGCAGTGATCATGGAGCCCAAGAAAGTAAAATCTGTCACTGCCTCCATATATTCCCCTTCTATTTGCCAGGAGGTGACAGGACAAGTGGCCTCAGGTCTTAAGAACCACTCTAGAGGCCTTGCTCTGTGTGTGCATCTGTCAGATGAGATGAGGCAGGTGGTACTTGGGAGAGGACACTCTCAGTGGTGCAACCCTGGCTCTCCAGAGAATCTTGATACTTCTCTGTAGTCTTGAGCAATGTTCTCTCTAAGCTGTGCATGTGCTTGCCCAGAGCTCCATTGGGGTTGCGCATGGTCACCTGGCAAGCTGCCCAGTCCCAGAGTGCCCCAGAAAAAGGGATGGTAAACCACCTGAGTATTCTATATGTAGAAAACTCTAGCAAGTGTCATCCTCAATTAGAATTAATTTGACACCATGTAATAATAATTATTATTAGTGGGTTATTCTACCAAAGCCTGTAATTATCGAACATTAAATTAAGCTTAGGTTACAGTTTGAGGCAAAAGGGAGAAATCTGTAATGAGATTACCTGTTGGTTTAAACCAGTTCAACTGAAGTTGTGCCAGCAACTGCTTACCTGTGACTGCAGAACTAGATGAGAAGAAATACAGAATTCTCTCATGTTTTGACTTGCATTTTTCAAACAACATCTTTAAGAGCGGAAAGTGGCAGCATTCAAGAAATAAGCAAGAGATCTAAGCCACAGATCTTTCCCACAGTCGTGTGTTTATAGCTCACAACTGCTTGCTTTGCAAGGCTAAGATCCATACTGCTATGTAAAATAACTATAAATCTCTTGGTTTAAGGTTCTACAGAAGTCTTTGCTGGATCTAAGGATGAAATTCATTCTGATTGCCATGAATGGTGGATGACAGAAGCAGAGAAATGAGCACTTTCACCTGCCCATAGGGTGCCACACAATCTGGGATGAGTTCAACAGGCAGAGGAAATTTACTGACAGGCATGCTTCTAGGCAGCTTTGAACAAGAGAACATAGTGAGGCCTATGACAAAGTGCTTGTTAAATCTCCCTTGACATGAAACATGAAACTAAAAAGGGTTCTGAGATAAAATGCTAAGAACATTAATCCTTGATCTTTCTAAATATTCAAAACTGCATGGTGAATCGCTATGAATACCCAGGATTTTTTGGCAGGGTGGCAGGGAGAAAGAACAAT